GCTGCCGAGCAATACTTAAGAGGCCATGTGAATACACAACCGCATGCGAAGAGCTATGGTTAGGAAAGCCGAGCTAGCCAAATATAGGATTAAAACAGAATCCGAAAAATGGTGGTAAGGAATACAGTGTTTTGCAGGCTGCAGAGATTTCACACTCACGTATAAAATGAGGCAATAAAAATACACAAAGTAGCCAACAATTTGTATAGGAATAAGTATAGAAATGGAGCGGGAACTATTTATGTGTGTTGGTTAGGCTTCGAGTGAGACAGAAATAAAAGATGAGTAAGCGGCTGATTAGGACTCACAATTCACGACTTGGAGTTTATAAACATATAATATGCAATAGTAGGAATTAAAAAATGAGGAAACAGCTGTCATTAAATCCGCTTCTTTTTCCTAAAAGAATATAGATTAGGTAGTAAATAGCAAACGAAATCATGGAAATCCTAATTAGGATCGCAAAGTTGTGACGGCACAACTCTATAGCGAAACAAGACGGCATTTTTATTATTATCTAAAGAACACGATTCAGTCGTTCGTCAACAATGCACCAAAACTGCATGGATTTATCGGTAAAATATATAGTTTAATAGGGCCACCATTTATTAAAATCAATGGAGCTGTAAAACTAAATCAACTGGTTTGATTTTTTCATAGCCAAAAAGAAAAAAATTAAACCCTAGAGTGGCTTGTAAATTCAAAAATTAATAAATATGATAAATTTTCTAAAAATTTACAAAGTCTTTCATGATTTAATACATGAATAACCTGGATGATGAATAATGTAAAGGACCATTTTTGCATTCTGGACAAGTGGGAAGGGCGCCAAACATCAAGGCATCTGCGACACAATCTAACAGATTGGAAATGCCAGTAGGCACGAACTGCTTATTGCATTCAAGAAGGCCGATTAGCACAGACTTGGAGATCTGTTTTTCCAACTTATCTCTTAGGTCCCATAGATGCAGATTTTGTTCACGTAACTTTTCACTTTCAACATCATTTTTTGTGACTGAATTAGATAGTTTGGCCTTTTTTGAAACGCTTACACTTCCCGCTACACCGTCACTGACTGCTCGTTTCTTGGATCTAAAAAGCAAGAGGAAAGGGTATATAATTTTAAAATAGAATATCTGCTAATGGGATATAAACCAAAAAGTGATTTAGGACTGAGTTACATTTAGTAAATATAAATAATGCAAATGACAGAGGATTTAATCTTCTCTTAAGGCTTTTGAGAAGACGAAGTTTGGCATAATACTTTTCCTATATATTATACCCAACTCAGTAAAGCTACTGATCCGAGCATTTCATAGACAATCTAGTAGCAATTGGCAGATAAAAACCACTCGTAAAGGAAGGATAAAACTAAGTATAATAATCAAATATATGAAGACCAGGATGGTGTGGCCTTTTGTATGGTCGCGGTCTCCTATCGTTGTTTACAAGTTGCTTGACCTTGTTTACGTAACTTAGTTATACTGGCAGGAAGACCTAGAGGAACGCACCTTTTCTGGACTCCATAGTAAACATGATAATTTTCAGAGTCGGACCGTGGACATGCT